GAATTTGGGGACACCAAAAACTATGATTTTGAAGTCTGTGCAGGAACGTTAAAAACGGCCTATGATATAACTTGAAGTAAAAAAGTAATTGTAAAATTAAATTTACATTCTAGTCACCAAATATGTAATATTATGTCTACCTATATAATTATAATTGTAATTGTATAATCTCTCCCTGTTAGACATGTCTCTTTTGAGTATACTTTATTTATTTTAAATAGAAAAAATGTGAAAATAGAGAAAACCAGTTGATTTATTAAGGCAGTAGGATTTCTTTCTTTTTCTTTTATTTTTGTTAAAATGTTGTTTGTACAACACCCATTCATGATAAAAACTCTCAGCAAATTAGAAATGGAGAGAAACTTCCTCAATTTGATAAAGAACATCTATAAAATACCTACAATTAACATCATACCTCACAGTGAGAAACTAGACACTTTTCCCCTAAGACTGGGAACAAGGTAAGGATGTCCTCTCTCACCACTCCTGTGGAACATTGTACTAGAAGTCTTAGCTAGTACAATAATACAAGAAAGAAAAGTAAAGGATATACTGATTGGGAAGGAATAAAGATAACTTTTTATTTGCAGATGACCTGACTGTCTACATAGAAAATCCCAAAGAATTAAAAAAAAAAAAAGAAAAAAAGAAAGAAAGAGAGAAAGAAAGAAAAACAACTCCTAGAGCCAACAAGTGAGTACAGCGGGGTTGCAGGATACATGGTTAACATACAAAAGTTAGTTGCTTTGTTTTTGAGACAGAGTGTCGCTCTATTGCCTAGGCTGGAGTGCAGTGGCGAAATCTTGGCTCACCACAATCCCCGCCCCCTGGATGCAAGCAATTCTCTTGCCTCAGACTCCTGAGTAGCTGGGACTACAGGCGCATGACACCATGCCCGGCTAATTTTTGCATTTTTAGTAGAGATGGGGTTTCACTATGTTGGCCAGGCTGGTCTCTATCTCCTGACCTCGTGATTCACCTGCCTTGGCATCCCAAAGTGCTGGGATTACAGGCATGAACCACTGTGCCTGGCCATTTGCTTTTTTATATACCAGAATGAACAACTGGAATTTGAAATTTTAAAAACTCCATCTATAATAATGCCCCCGAAATTACATAGTAGGTATAAATATAAAAAAAGTATAGGATTTATAAGCATGAATTATAAAACACAGATATAAAACACAGATGAAGAAAGTCTAAGATTTAAATAAATGGAGAGATATTCCGATTCGTAGACTGGAAGATTAAATATTGTTAAGATGTCAGTTCTTTCCAACTTGACCTACAGATACAATGCAATCCCAATCAACATCCCAGCAAGCTATTTTAGAATCCAAGTTAACACATGGATTCTAAAGTTCATATGGAAAGACTGAAGGCCTAGAATAGAAGACTTTGTCCTTAGTTGTAGGCTGTGTGTAGTGGCTTTGTTCCAAAGAACACAGTATGGCAAGGGAAAAACAAGGAGCAACTTTACAGTGGCAAAAACTAATAAA